TTGCTTTTCTTAAACAAGGGAAATGGTTACCCATATCCAAAAATATATTCGATTCTTATGCGTTCTTTCATTTACGCGATAAATTATTGCAATATTTGTTAAAAATATGCTTTTCAATAAATAGAAACATTTAAGACAGAAATGTCATATATCCACAGCCAATTCATGGTTATATTCAAATGTATAAATCAACCCATCAAAGTTTTGGATTGACCATATATACACGAAAGTCGATCACATACAACATTAGGAACCACATTACATAAAAATTCGCCATAATTTATAGTCAACAGATTCATTACGCATGCAGATACTCTGGATTGAATGCAACAGACTCCCGGTAAATCAGCTCCTTCATCTGTTCTTCAGTCAGGGCATGCTGCTCAAAGTCGAAGCTAAAAGGCGTCAAGCAGATAGGCTCATCGCTTATGTCGTGGAGTGAGTTCAAGTAGGGATGTGCTAGTGCATCTTCGACTGAAACCAAGATAAAATCATTACAAAGGAGTAAGTAATTGGAGTCTTAGTCCAACATGCAGCAGATTAATTCTAGCATCAAAGTAACTCAGAGAAGTTTGGTCATATGCAAATCAAGTAGATACAAGATGACGACTACAATTAAAACTTGAAAATCTAACTGGGTTGATAATGGATATCCTCACCCGTAATCCTTTGTCGAGGATCAAATGTCAACATCTTTTCAATGAGATCGATAGCAAGAGGCTGCACACGTGGAAACTTTTCAATAAATGATTGTCGGTGAGAAGGAGGAAGTTGTCGGATGTATCTCTTTGCATTTTCGTTCAAAAATCCCAACTCAGCCTCTGACGGGGTGCCAATCAGCTGAAATGCCAGCAAGCTTCTAGGTCACGCTTAAGCACAGTACTAATGGATCAACATCACTAGAATGTGTTGACATATTAAATGGTAATAATAAATTGTTCGACATGATGCCTTTTAGAGATATTTAAGGACGGTAAAAATAGCACATTTAAGAAAATTCAAATATACGGAGGAACAGTCATTGTTCCCTCAGATACTCCATGATCAAGAGCAGAGAAAAAATATGGCCCAAAAATACATATACGGGGTCTCGTCTGGTCATCAGGCATTTGTCCTCCAACAAGGTGTAATACCCAAGAAACATACCTCCATAAGTAGACGCAACTGGTGCACATGATCTCTACCAGGAAATAATGGCTTCCGATCCATCAGCTCCATGAAAATACACCCCACTGACCAAACATCTATAGCTGTAGTATAATCAGATGAATTTAATAACAGCTCTGGTGCTCGATACCACCTTGTAACAACATATTCTGTCATAAAATCAGTTTCAGATGTGACCCGAGCTAATCCAAAATCACATATCTTTAGGTCACAATTCGCGTTCAGAAGGAGATTGCTTGGCTTCAAGTCCCTATGCAGAACATTTGCCGAATGTATGTACTTTAACCCACGGAGTATCTGATACAAGAAATACTGCACCAAAAACATGGAAAAGTTGATTTTCCCTAATGAGATTAGTAAACCTATTGAGAGCATACTTTACTGGCAGGAGAGCACCAGTATGATAACAATGGTGGGCTAACACTGTTCGCCTCAGTTTTAAAGGACTGACATGGGGACAAAATGACAAATTCTAATCGAAGAACTATAATCTCTGTTTCATCATGTACAGTAACTTTGGATCAAGCAATAAGAGTAATGAATTGACCATGAGTCACACGAAGAGTTTGGCTTAAATACAAAATGTCTGTGGACTTGAAAACAACTTAACATATTCAAGAGGAAAACAAGCAATCAACATTCTACTGCCCAATTGGCAAGGGAATACATTACATATATTATGCACAGATTTAAGGTAGACGTCTGCATGAATCTTATTTTGCAATCAGTTCATTCTCGTTTTGGTTTTCCTGATCAAGCATCAATTTACAGAAGTAAAGCTAGAAAAGGCATGCGGCAGACTTGCATATTTGGTTTTTTAAGTCAGTT